TGGCACTCAGGCGTTGGCTCCTTGCGGATCAGACACAGGTGATCCCCGAAACATCCTTTCCCGGTGATCACCTGCGTCAGTCGGTATGAGAGGGTCCCGTGACGCCTCTCGAGCCAATTCTCCATAACGGGTCTTACCGCCGCGATGACGGCGTGCCCGAAGCTCGGTTGCCCGAGTCGTTCCTTCCACTCCCCTATGACGACCTGGCGGAGCTGGGATTTCCGGTCATCGATTTCTCGAATCTCGGGACAATGACCCAGCTTCCGCGCCTCCTTGCGCCACTGATACAGAGCCGCAAGGGCTCTCGCCTCCAGGTCCCACGGTGGAGTTCCGGCCAGGAAACTCGCCGCCTCAAAGGAGATCGTGCGGTACCCCCTTATGATCCTGATGGCCAGCACTCGCTGCGGTCGTCGCAGTATCGCGACGTTGCTGGCCTTCAGGGCCCCCGCCCATACTGGGCACCCGTAAACCCCCGAGTAGAGTCTCCTGCAGGAGTCATTGGATCCCTTCATGTTGGGCAGCAGCCGCGCCAACGCACGCGCTGCTCCAACCAACTTGGGGACCAGACCTCGGAAATGAGATCCCTCAGGCGGCTTCCTCCGAAGCCCGTGGAAGAACAGGGCCTCGGACTTGTGCAGAGCCACCTCGAGACCCAGCCGCCGGATACGCTCAACGACTTGGGCAACCCCGGCCGTGGCCCTCAGGGTTGCCTCGTGGTGCGTCTTGCCGCGCGCCGTCACGAGCTTGTCATCCGCGTAGCACACGACGGCGACACCATCCAAGAAGGCACCACGAAGCACCCAGTCGTAGCCAATGTTCCACAAGAGTGGCCCTAACACCGACCCCTGCTGAACACCGCACGACGTTTCACGCCTAGACCGGTCCTACTGGGGTAGACGACGGCTCTCTCCGACAAATGTGCGCCGACTATGCGGCGGAGGTAGAGAGGCACTTCGTGATACACGAGCGCCTCCCTGATGCAGCTCCAGGGCAGAGTGTTGAACGCGTTGGCGATGTCCAAGGACACCGCCAACACCACTTCGCCCCGGGAAACTGCTTCCTGCGCCAGACGACACTCCCCTGGCCGCACCGGAGTGTTTTTTATTTTTTATTGTACTACATACACACAACGCCATCTAGTCCCAAACTTAGCAAAGCATGTACTATGGCTACTAGACAACTGATATTAATACATGTACACGTTTTTTTTGTAAATACATACTTATTATACATAGAAACACCCAGACCAAATCAAACATTAAATGTTCATGCACACGAATGTTTGACTTGAGCGGGAATCGAACCCGCGACCTTTGGAATAGCAGTCCGTTACACAAACCACTACGCCACTCACCAGCATTCGATTCGACGAACATGCAGGACAGTCTTCCAGCGTGTGCTGAGCGGAGTCCCTGTCGGACCCACAGTGGAGGCATTGTGCATCAACGATTAAATAAAACGAAATGCAAATCATTTTTATACATATTATTGCATGGCGGGTAAACAATAAAGTTGCCATTTGATAATATGGAATAACATAGCTCTTTAAAACGACCGTTCAAAAGCAATATTATGATCAAAGTGCTTTGTAAATGTTACGACGAGGTGACATTTTAATCCAACAACAAAATTCTTTTGGAAAACGGAAATATATAAAACATTTCTGTTTTTTCAAAAGAATTTAAGGTAATTAAATGGCATGAAAGTTTCTATTGATCATAACATTATTTAAACACACAACGTAATTGTTATTCGTATTTCTGCTCTGTTCTTTGTGAAAACAGATAAAAAAATAAGTTGCGTTTGACAGCACACACGGCGCGAAGGGGAAATTAGTTATCATAGTAGTAGCCATTCTGTGGATTCCATTTTCAAAAAGTGTTAACATATTTTATGTGGCACTGTCTCAATGTTTGTTAGGTAAATCAACACAGAAATCAGTGCAGGATGTGTCTTCAAAAGAAGGGTTTCATTCAGTGAAAACACTACAAACACAAAAACTTTGTAAAACTTACTAAGCATAAAATACTTTTACACGGCTTACACATTATAATGATGGTAGGTTATATTATGGTGTTAGTATCATGGCTCACCTCTCTAAGTTCAAGAGTAATAGTCGCTTAATATATTATACACTTTAAAAATTACTTGGATGAAGTTGTTATTTGTTTATAACGGGTAGTGATAAGCTACGGAACCCTGAATAGAGTATGGCTCGACACGCACATGGCCGGTTTTATGTGCTCCACCTTATTTTAGTCGGTTTGCTTTTTAAAAATAATTTCTAAACAACTCACCAAAATTAAGTCGGTAGTTGATATCGTAATAACTAAAGTTCTTACTGAAATGTTCAACTACGGGTTTATAAACGCGACTCATACAATTATATTATTCCGAAGTAAGAAGATAATAACTTTAGGTGAAAACAATTAGTTAACTAGTTGTATAACCACCATCATTTTATTTACGTTTCTTCGTTCTCGTTGTGATTTTTAACTTTAAGAGAAACCTAAATTGCAAGAGAAATCTGTATTAATATTGTTTAAGAAACTTAGCATTTAGTTTCACGAATAAACAATAACTTAATACCCGATTTTGGACTTTAGTAAAGTGTTTACAGTTTATTAGTTTTGCTTTTAAAGTAAGTTACGAAGTTGGACACCTGCAACTCAAAAGTCAGAAGTGCGTTGCTGCCCTTGGAGTCCCTCCCGCTCAAATCAGCGGGAGGGGTGATTTGGGCTCGGTAACTTCACTCACTCAGTGAAAGGCAACAAAAGCATTGCTGAACACCGGTTTTCTGTGAGGCCGTGGTATCACTCCGGTCAAACCGACCCATTCGTGCCAAAGCATGGCGCTCGCACGGCAAAAAAAAAATTTGGTGACGAAACACAAAGATAATAAACAAAATGATTTAGATAAATCAAAGGTCAGCGAGAGGAAGAAGATATTTTTTATTGAAATCCCTCGTTAACCAGTAGTGCACAGGAAACGGGCTTAGATTTAACTTGGTGCACAAATATTAGTATATCTTACCCAAGACCTCCACATGTAGGAGCTAATAAAAATATCACCAGAATATCTTTGAGTAAAAAAATGTATAGATGTGTAAAGAAATATTTACATATTACTACCAAAAAAATGGTCTCATTTCTACTTATTGCGTTAATAACATTAATAACTTCACACATCTTACATAGGGCAGTCTAATCCCAAACTAGCCAGAGCCTGTACTATGGTAACTAGATTGCTGATAAACATACGTAAATATTGCTGAATACATACATCCACATTTATACTCATACACGTATTAGAAATGTAAAAGTGAATTTGTTTGTTACGCTTTCACGCCTTAGCAACTAATCCACTTTTAAAAATTCTTTCACCAATGGAAAGCTACATTATCAGCGACTAACATAGGCAATTTTTTACCGCGAGAACCGACAAACACGCGAACTAGTATTATATATAAATTACACCTAGGCACAGAACAAACGATCATACTCATCACACAATTATTTGTCCTGGGTGGGAATCGAACCCACTACCTTTGGCTTAGCATACAGGATTAATAACTACTAAACCAACAGTTAGATAATAATAATATTTCGGACGTCTGATAAGCAGAGGTTGTACTATGAAAAGTATATTCACTGAATCCTTTTTTATTTTTAAATAAATACATATTGTACATAAAAACACCCAAACGCCGAAACAAATATTTGCAGATCATACAAATATTCGACCCGGGAATCTAACTTGAGACTTCAGCACAGTAGTCACATACGGCATACACATACCACAGAGGCAGTCAAATATATTTATCGGATATGTTTAATCTGTAGAATACCAAAGACTAGAGTGAAAATGCCTATTGAGCTTTGTGTCTCCAAAAGGCCTTATTTAACTGCCACTTTAAATAGCATCAACTCATTAAAATGTCAAAGTTATAGTATGAAACCTCAACGTAAAGAAAACACTATCTTATAAACTTGTAATGTTAATAGCTTTATAGCTTTTTTTATAGTGCTCCGAGGAATTGTTCGGACTAACACCGGCCACAACTTCCCGCCATCGTTTAACACCGCAAAAATGTCATCCTCATCACTTGGATAATTGGTGCTCTACCACTGTGCGCTTTTCTAGACACTTTTTACATCGCACAACTAATCTGTGGAAGAAGATATATAGAAGATACGATCTTTAAATTAATTAAGAAAAGAGCGTACCTACTCCTTCCTAAAAGGCCGGCAGCGAGTTTGTGACTCCTGGGTTGCAGGTGTTCATGGGCAACTTGCAATCAGGTGACCAGTGTGCTTGTCTGTCCCCTCTTATATAAAAAAAAACTTAAGAACATGCTACAACTAAATACAGAGATGAAAGAGGTTAACACCACGTCGCAATAATTACACTAATAAAATGTGTTTATTTACTAACTTTAAGCATAGCTTACAGCAGCATTTATCACGTAAAGTGTGTACGTATTCGCGAGCTCTTTAGAAACAGCGCCTCAATTTACAAGATTTAAATTAACTATAACCCAGAGAGTTGTATGCAAAACCGCGAAATTTCATTAATGCCTGCACTCTGACTCTGCATATGTTTAGTAAATACCACGTTAATATTAATACTCTTGTTACTTACATAGCAAATAATACAAATTAATAATATAGAAGACCCCCAAACCGGCATACACCCAAGGTTTGTCAGCAGCTACTTTGTGGTAAGGTTACCATATCATAATAACCTTAGCACAAAGTAACAGTACACCAAATTTCAAACTAATTATCGTTGTAGATATAAATTAGTCAGATCCCTTCATCAACTAAGAAATGAGCTGATGATCTTCACAGATTATAGCTAAGAACCATCTCGATTACGTTAGCTTTCAAACGTAAATCCGCATCATGATCGGTCCGTTCGTTTAAGAGCTGAGATACCACATACAGACACACAGACACGTCAAACTTGTTTTGCGTCAGGAGTTAATAATTAAAACTTACATCCACGGTATCAATTTTCGCTAAGTTCTTGAAGTCGTGGGTTGCGTAGAACTTCTCTCTTTCCAAAGTTATATTACGCATCACATCCATTGCGAAGGTAGTATTTCAGCTCCATATTAATCACTATTATTAAAAAAAAACACTTCTCAAAATGTGTCACTTTTTACAGTTTTATCGAGGTCTTATCGCGAAGTTCCTCATTTCACTCAACTTCTGTTGTAACGTTATCTGTAACAAAAAACAGTTTTCTTTAAAAATATATCAAAGTATTCTGTAATTGGTACTAACGGTTCGAATTTGCTTATATTACTTATTCAAAATCATAACCAACTTAAAATTACATTTTCTAAATAGACTGTTTTATTTAAAAATGGGGCAAAAAAAACATATTGGTTGGTTAACGGATGAATTGGCACGTATTAAATTTTAAATTCCACGATATGACTCTATGCCAAAAAGCGGGCCCACAGTTGTAAATAAAAGATATTAGTTTTACAAGAAAATTACTTTGGTACGTATCTTTAAACCCAAACTTTAGACAAAAGTAACTCTTAGTAAAAAGCTTTAGACTGTAAATTAAGAACAAATAAATGTCTACTCAAAGTACCTGATTTCATTGTCTCAGTAAAAGAGCCTTTATACACAAGATATCCCAATAGATGACAAACCATTAAACCCAAGACTTTCTTTTGTTTTGATTGTGGCAACATTGGCTCAGAAGTACTCAGAAATAATGTTGTCATTTGATAGTAGTTGCCTGGTTATTCACTGTAATCTATATGAATTATAATCAGTATCATTTTTTAACTGTATTTTATTTCAAAGCTATAAAATAATTAATTAATAATAATAATAACTTCACAGACGGCCGTCTGATTCCAAAGTAGGCAGAGCCTGTGCTATGGTAAACAGTCTGCCGATAAACATACTTATGTATTACACAGAATATAGATAAATTACACCCAGACATAAAACAAATCATCCTGCTCATCACACAATTATTTGTCCTGGATGGGAATCGCACTCACGACCTCTGACTTAGCAGTTAAGGTCACTAACCACTAGACCAACAGGCCAGTCAATAAGTTGTTAAGATAACGTTAAGAAGTTGGAATAGATTTGCAATAGATGCTAAACTTTTTTTTTTTTTAACGTGTGGAAATCCCCTCGGACCGTCACCCCACCGGGGTTTGCGGCGGGGTGGTGTGTCGGACTCGAACCGACTAAAACCACACGGTGTGCCCTCTTTGCGCTTCCAGTTTAGGAGGGGTCCAGGTAGTTATCGCCTTCTGGACCCCTCCCAGCGCCGGCCCGCTCCTGGTGCGGGCTCCGTCTTCAATTATCCTCTCTTTAGGCGACGTCCGACACACGCGGACGCCGCCCCCTCGCGGCTGGCCAACTAATGCGGGTGGAGGGGAGAACCCATCCCGTCCACCCGCGGCCACACTCAGGGCGGCATGAGGCGCAGGTAAGCGCGCCTCAATAGATGCTAACCTAACCTAACGCCTTCTTTAATATTTTTGAACGATAATTTAAATGGTTTAGATATATTTAATACTAGTTCCGTCCCTGTGTATGATTATCGATTATCGTTACCGATTATCGCGGTAAAAAGAATCCTATGTTACTTGCTAATAATGTAGTCTTGAATTGGTGAAAGATTTCTAAGTGTATAAGATGTCTAAGGGTTTAGGCGTGAAACAAAAAAACTCACTTTCACAGTTAGGCATCGATTAAACAAAAATTTGAACGAAGTGAACGAAGGTCTAATGGAAGCCTTTGTGGATTAATAAGTTTTATAGATTATAACCGTTCCATTGCGGATGGTCACTGTCCTCTCCTAAGGGACGGAGCATGATGGTACATAGTCAATTTCTATCTTAAAGTTCTAAACATAATCCTATTTAAATCAAACTTTTAAACTTATCACAGAAACTGATATATTATGATTACTATGCAACTTTTTTTACAGGCTCACTTTTTGTGTGGCTATATTAAGCATATAGTTTTGGCAACAAGATACTCTTTAGCTATGTTATATTAATATAGGTATATTTTATTTTATTAATATGGTTTTTCTGAGTTGCAGCCAGCTGTGGGCGGTGGTAATTATTTTCCATCAGGTGACCTGACGTTTGTCCCTCTTCTGTTAAAAAAATAAGAAAAAATGATAAAAAGTAATTATTTAATAATTCAAGAAGAAAAAACTATGCAACGTAAGAAATGTGTTATGTGTTGAACCAGAAGTTTGAAAAATCATTTTTTTCGAGCTATGGCGATTGTACGAACGTACGAACGCTTGAATTCAGAATTCACCTAGGATTAACGTCTTTTGTCATTTTTATCTGACTGTTTAATTACAAAATAAGAGATGTGTTTCCGCTTTAGGGTGTATAAAAACTATTGGTCTTGTTTTAATACATATAAAAGTTTGAAAAGTTTTGAAGATCCTCGTTCAACTTTTATGAACTTTGTGTACTTTTAGAGTCAACGTGCTTTTGTTTATACTTGAGTGTTGAGATCTTTCGACAAAACATGTTTATACTTTTAAGGGTTAATATTTTTATAAATTAGTTTTTATGTTCTTTAATAAACACCAGTTTTATACGTTGTGATAAAATGTACCTACTTGTACAAAATATTGTACTTTATGGTTAATTAAATTAAATTGCCAAACATATACTTAATTTTGTAACTCACACAAAAAGTCTTGTCTCTGCATCCCTTGGACAAGGATGACGTACGAGTTTTTGAACATATTTTACTATTATTATTATTTTTTGAACCTATTACCTATATTACTCTATTACTCAAAAACAAGCCTATCTTTACACTAATTACTATGCCTTTTTAAGCTTCTACATGTAAGTATACTGACAAACTTATATCTAGTATAATTTATTGATTGAAGAGCAATCTCAGGATTTTACAAATGCAATAAAAACAACACTACCATTTATCGATATCGCTTTTTTGTTTTGAGCGTATTTTCTGTAAATCCATAATGAAATTACTATATTAACTTATATTATAAATGTGAAAATGAGTTCATTTGTTTGTTCTCAATAGTTGTTGAAGCGATCGACAACAATTGAGCTCAAATACTACCAAATAGCTTCTGAGTATGCTTGTTTCAGATGCTTGCTATTGCATCTTCAACATGTAATGCGAAATTCAATGAACTATTCATCTCTGAGGGAATTTAATTTATCTGTCCGAAATTTATGGCCCAAGCGTTTCAAACGCGCGATGGTCTGATTTCACGCTAAGTGATATACTATACCAGGGCTATACTTTACTGACGTTAATTTACTAAGGGATTTCACGATCAAGGCCGTGTTAGTCGTTCTCGTAATCCAGATACTTAATGAGGTAACCCCTTAAATAATTAGACATATATACTGCTGCACAATAATAAACGACAGAGGCGATGAGATTATTATAATAATTTTTTAATTTGAATAATAGTTTATAGAACGCGTAAAACAAATGGATTTTTTTTTCGAAGTAGTTAACTAAGACAACTGTTATCTATTTAATTAAGACAACTGTAAATCATATCTTTACAACAGTTACGGTCGAACGCTGGTCCAGTATGCCAAATAATTCATCCAAGTAAATCATTCAGGTTTATCTGAACTGCGTTCACGATCCCTAAAACACATAACATTGAATAAGAAATTCGTTTAAATATAACACACTACATTAATTTACAATAACGTACATTAAAATTTCATCCATTCTTATATTTAACATCTTATTATTGACGTATATTGTAAACTAGCTTTTGCTCGCGGCTCCATCTGCATTTATGTCGGTTATAGCGGTAAGTATAAGTATGTTACTCGCTGATAATGTAGCTTTCCATTGGTGAAATATTTTTTTAAATCTGCTTAGTGGTTCAGACGTGAAAGCGTAACAAACAAATAAATTCACGTTCACATTTAAAATTAAAGTATGGTAATTCTAGAGATATCTACTAGACTAGAGTAGACTGAAATAGAGATGACTACCTATCAGTAATAAGACTGCCCACCGTATACCTACCTACCAATTTTTAAAATTTGTGTTGTGTGTTAATGTATATTATAGAAGAATAGGTAGATACATTCTCATCCTTTGTATCAAAGAATTTATCTATCGTGTAAAAGAACAATGAACGCATCTTTCGGCTTGTTAATTAAGGAATAACTTAATTAAATATAAATTAAAATCGTATTTGAAGTAATTTAACAGACATATTGAACTAATATTGAATAATTCTGGATAATAACTTTTGTATACTGATATTATTAGTTTATGTAAGTTTTCTTGTTTGTGATATTCTAAGCATTATAAGAATATACTAGTAAAACCACTCACTAATAACTCCACTACTCCACCACTCACTAATAACTCAACTACTCCACCACTCACTAAACCAACACTATACCAGTATTTTTTTACCAGATTATTTCACTTTTAATGTTCAGCAGGTCATAAAACAAATATCGTAAAAATTGTGTGAATAAACATGTTAAGTTTAATTTTAATATTAAAAGCCAATTGCGAACTCAAATGGACCGTAAACATAATTTAGAATATACACAAGTCTAAAAACTTTAGCTACGATATAGTAAACGAGGCGTTCGACGAATTCCAAATAAATAAAGCCAGTTACACACTTAGGTATATTAACTTTTAATATTTCGTTCTAGCTAATTACTAATACGGGAATTCACATGAACAACCTTTGAATTAAAACAAACAGATTGTGTCAACATGTGACCAAAACCACTGCAACCTGGTCGAATAGACCGGAAATTAAAAGTTATGCATAATAATAGTTACAGATACACACTTTATGGTCTTTATTATTTTTACACGTCTTTTTGCACTTTATTTTTATGTTTCTCTTATTGGAAGTTTATTAAATAAGTTTTTTTGTTTAAGGTAGAGGGGAAAAAACTCACAACAATGTCTTTCTTTTTCTTTCTTTCTTTGTTTCAAATGTCTTGAACAGCTGTGAAAAGAGGATGTTACGCGATTATCTTTGTTTGTTTATTTTACTCGACTTAGCAGTGCCATTTTCCCGACAACTTAAACGTGGG